ATCCACAATTAACCCTACAATCATTTACATCCAATCAGCTCGCGCCGACACTCCTGACAATCCTGTCACTTCCCACCTCTCGATTCCGTCAATCAGTCGGGGGAAAAAATCAAGTCAAGACCGCCAACTAACCATAAATACGCCAGAGCCGAAATACAAATTAAATTAAGCGACGAGACAAAAGGCAGACTTGCAGCAATTTACAGAAAAACTGCCAACAAATCAAATTGCCATAAAACCAGGGGCTCACCAAGTTGAAAGGGGGCGAAAAAGAGAGGGGGGCAGGGGGGATTTCGCGACACATGACAGTGCTGGCCAATTCCCAGATTGACAATTGCGGTGGCGGTAGCGGTGGCGGTCGGCTGTTGGCTGTGGCTGTTGGCTGGCTGAGTAAATAATTTCGTCTTGGCCATAAAAAGGCTGCTTTTCAGTGGAGCAGGCCTGTCAATTGCCGGGAGATTGATGCCCCTGGATAATAGCGACGCGAACAATTTGCAGACGACAACACGCCGCAAAGCTGAGGAGACCAACTTGCAGCTCCTTGGCCTTTTTTCTTCTTCTGGCTAAAAACGTAAAACAAAAATAAACCAAACAAAAAAAACAAGACGGAAAACAGAGACAGATGGAGACGCGACATCATCTCCAACGGTGGTCTGTGGCGACAACTGAATGACAACTCTTAACGGGATTTCAGCTGAGCAAGTTATTTGCCCAAAAATGGCCAGGAACATTCGAAGTGTTGACATGGCTCAGACGGGTGACAAAGGCGCATGCGTGACACCCCCAGGAGATGCTTTAATACGGAAGGGGAGGGGGCGGGATAAGGGGGCTTAAGATAAAACAAGGCATTGGAAATCCTCTGCGTTCCATATGGTAAACAAAGACAAATTCTGCCCAGCTGTCCCAGCTCAATTAGCTATCAAGATCATCGCGTCTTTGACTCCGCGCGATGGGAATTGTTCGCGGCCAACAGCTGGATGGCTGGATGGTTGGATGGCTGGATGGTTGGATGGCTGGATGGCTTGATAGACGGGCCTAGACAAAAGCCCCATTGTTTGGCCCTCCGGCAGGATGCAATAAAATGCAGGTGCATATCCCACATCCATCTCCAGATCCAGCTTTGAATTCAACTTCATCTGCAACTGCACTCGAAAAAATGTTTAATTATAGTATTCAATTTAATACAATTATATGAAACCTATTTCATTGGCATTGTAAAGCAAGCAAAGTATTCATACTTTAAATTTGAAATAAATACTTGTAGTTAACTTAATAAAAGTATTTTAAGTTAGTTAAACTAAATAAGCGAAATAATAATCCTTAACGCGTTTATCTTTATAAAACGTAACTAACGCTATTTTAATCCCAAAAAATTAAAAATTGATTTTATATAAAATTATAAAATTAAATGCTAAATTTAATATCTTTTTTTATCTTTTCGTTGTAAAGTTTGCGATAGACAAAACCATTGAGTGGTCTAATATTATAGCAATTACCCATTTTATTTGCTTTATCCCTCTTTTCCGCATGTCGAAAAAGGTATTTATTTATTTATCAGTAGATAGCATCAGCACGGCTTTCAGTGCATGTCCTTTTCGAAATGCATCCGAGTTGTCCTCTCGCGGCGTTCTCAACATGTTGCCAAGTCATTAACTTGAGCCTGTTTCTGGCTTTTGTTGCATGTTTGTGATTACACGAGCGGGGGACTCGCATGGCCACGACGATGATGAGGGGGGTCGGAAAAGGAAGGGGGTAAGGGGAGACGGGGAGCCGGGGTCCTGCGAGCAAGGACTGTAACAAAGGCGGCCAGGACATGGACATGTCGTTGCTGTTGTTGCGCCTTGAGCGTTTGGGCCATTTGAAAATTGCAGCAGGGTTGCAAGCAACCACTTCGAGCCAAGTTCTCCCCCTCCATTTCCTACCCCCACCCCCTTCCCCTCACTTTTTTCTGCCAACGCCATTGTCTCACGTTGTGAGTGTAAATGTGTGTGTGTGCTTTGCTCATGTGCGAATTTTTTATGGCTCGAAGAAAACAACCCCCAAGTGGCAGACACGCTGGTGTGCGTGTGGCAATGTCAACTGGGGCGTCTACAAGCTGCTAAGTGCACTTGCCCAGCATTTCTTTTGCCCCTCCCCCTCCATTTTCCCCCTCCCCCACTCTGCTTTTGCCACACACATGTGTCGTTGTCGTAGCTTTTCTTTTAGCCATGAATACATAATGCCCTGCACTTGAGGCGGACTCTTTTCTTTTGCCTTCGACAAAGGCGAGCGGCTAATTCAGATGCCAGATTCTCGGGCTCCAAGGGTCCGTCAGATAAATGCATTCTGTAAATGTTGCAAAAAGGATACACACACCTCCTTTCCCCTAACCCCCCTCCCCTTTCTTTCCTCGAGCAAATGGAAACCCCTTCCCAAGGATCTTTTTGTGTTCCTTCCGTTGCCAGTCGGCCGGAAAGTAATTAAAATCTGCGCTTAAGTGCAGCTCTTCAAAATGCTGCTGTGAAACAAAAAAACACAAAATTGAGTTGCAGAAAAAAAAGGAAAGAAAGCAAAAAGGATTTGAATGGCTTGGCTGAGGTCCTTAAATCGGGCAGAAATAGTGAACTTATATCTAATATCAACATACGACACCTGGCGACTGTTATTAGAAAACTAACATATAACTCTGAATAAAAACGAAATGGAAAATGTCCTCGAAAAGATTTGCATATCCTTGAACGTGTAACAACGCCATCTGTTGGCGAGACAAACTGTTCCCACCGTTTTAGCACAGACACATTTTGGTAGTGAGTGTTCTCACATTTTGGTAGTGAGTGTTCTCAGAGAGGAGAAAAACATGGAATGAATCTAAAAGGGGTTGCAAACGTAGCAAAACATCGCGGAGGGAAAAACATGGAATAAGTGCACTCATGCACTCATAAACTCAAAATCACCCTCAACTCAAAGTTACCCCTTAAATCGAAAAAACTCACTTAAGTTATCAACTCAAAAGGAATCAAGGGGAATATAATTGAGTAGATTAGAGTTGAGCAAAAAATCCCTGCCAATGTCCGTATATACTAAAGAGCCATTACTTTTATGTACTTACCATTTCTGCCAGCTGTGCTAATTAATCGAAGCTAGTAATTGAACAGATTGATTGAAAATGTGTTTGAGTAGCTCGAATAGGAATAAATGCATGACTTAACTAACGTATGTCAAGTATTTTGCAGTATGGGTATTAATACTCTGTACGGCTATAAATGGCTTATACTTAGCAAACATAAAAATCAAATCATATTTAATGAGTTAAGTTTGTTAATTACATAATAACCTCAATGCTTTTTAATTTAGAACAAAATCAATTGAAAAAATATTAATTTTATACAATATCTGTGACTGTGGTAATTAAATTTACACAGAAGATTTTGATTAAAATACCTAGAAATACATTTTTATAAAATATTTGTTCATTGTTACAATAATAGTACAGCAATTTCTTGTATTTCTTAAAAGACTTCAAGCTAAGCCGATTATTCTTTGGATATAAACTTTATTAAAAGTTTGTGCATATTTAAACGTGTATAATTTCAATATCTGTCTCTATACAAACCATGGCAACTTTCAGAGTTTTTGATGTGACAACCGAGACATTCTTTCTTATTTCCCCCTTATTATTAAATGCAGAAACTAACTGAAAGTTACGAGGGGCCATGGCAACGTAAGAGATGAAGAATGTTGAGAGTTTTCAATATGATGCAAACATTTTCTACATTTCCCAAACTTTTTCTTGCCACACGCAGCTGCCGGGATAAAGTTTCGCTTGGATGGCGAGCGGAAAAAATCCTGGGGAGATTCTCCATCATCATCTGAAACATCATTGTTCGCCTCGGGCACAAGTTCAATTCTCAAATGCAAACTGCAAATGAGCAAAAAATTGTCAGACCAACGAAGGAGTGGAGGAAAACTGTGAAAATTGAAATGAAAATTACCCATTGTGGCATCGGCAGCATTTCAATTTGAGCTGCCATTTTGCACGTGCCCGGGAGAAGGCTTCCTTCTGGCAAAGCCCTTCCCCTTCACCCCCTCATCCCCCCTTCTTATTCTCTAATGGTCCACGGCTGGTTGAATTTTCACCATTTTCCCACCCACAGTCGCCCACCCATAATCTTGGCAAATGCCTGGGAGCCTTGCATTTTATTCATGGCCTCCGTCCACGTCCGACTTTATTAGTTATTTTCCGCTCAATTTGTGCTCCTGGGGAGGCAGGATAACAAGAAAAATTATTTTCATTTCATTCAACACATTCATTATGGTCCAGAGTAGTGTCCTTGTCCATGGCCACACCTATCTAGTCTTTTGTTTGGAAACAAGGCATAAAAACCCATTGAATTTCAATTCAATAAGTAGTGATTAAATGGACTGGCTGCAGTTCACATTTTTAAGAGATTAAGATAGATTTAAAGAGTCTAAGTTCAATGGAGACTTAAAATAGAATTTGTATAATGTTTAAGCATATTAGCTTCATATATAAAAAGGTTTATACACAAGTTAAACAAGAACTATTATCTTTAATATCAAAAATAGAAAAATATTTTAATTTGTTAACTATTTTATTTTACATAGTAACCTACTAATTCCCTTCAATATTATTACGTTTTCCTTCAGTGTTTTTTGCAATTCTTGCAGGTGCCAAGATGGAGAAATCTTTTGTTGCAATTCATGTTAATTAGGGGCCGGTGAAGGTCGAGTCCTCTTTCCCTAAACTCCTCCTTGTGGGAACCTTTTCAGCTGTTGACTGAGAGTGAGAAAAGTTCACAGCTAATTACATTGGTTAGTTAAAAGTTTAGGCACAATTATCAACACTTTTCAAGGCGCGACATGATGGGGCACAAAAAACTTGGCCGACACGCCCACAACCTCTTACTATATAAAACCAAAGCGGCGGACTGACCACAAACAGTTCTTGTTCCAAAATTACTTGGAAAAGTGAACTAAAAAAGTGAAAAATAAATCTGAAAATGAAAGAAACCGAGGATAAATCACCCACGGCCTTTTTGGATATGATGTGGGTGCCAGTGCAGTTTTACAGGAGCATTGGAGAGGATATCTACGCCCATCGCTCCACAAATCCATTAAAAACCCTACTTCTCAAGATTTACCTATATACGGGATTTATTAACTTCAATCTACTGGTGATTGGAGAACTGGTGTTCTTCTTCAAATCGCTACAGGATTTCGAAACCATTCGATTGGCGATTGCCGTGGCTCCTTGTATTGGATTTTCCCTGGTTTCTGATTTCAAACAAATTGCGATGACAAATGGAAAGAAATCCTTGATAAGGCTGTTGGAGGATCTAGAGGATATGCATCCGAAAACTTTGGAGAAACAGAAGGAATACAAATTGTCGGATTTCGAGAAGACCATGAGGCGTGTGATAAATATTTTCACATTTCTCTGCTTGGCATACACAACAACTTTTTCTTTTTATCCGGCTATCAAGGCCACGGTTAAATATAATTTGATGGGTTACGAAACCTTTGATCGCAATTTCGGTTTCCTCATCTGGTTTCCCTTCGATGCGACTAGCAATAATTGGATTTACTGGATCACTTACTGGGATATAGCCCATGGGGCATATCTTGCGGGTATAGCTTTCCTCTGCGCCGATCTTTTGCTGGTGGTAGTTATCACCCAGATTTGTATGCACTTCAACTATATATCCATGCGATTGGAAACCCATCCCTGTGAATCGGAAAAGGACAAAGAAAACAAAGAGTTTCTCATTGGAATGATTAGATATCATGACAAGTGCTTAAAGTAAGAGATTCTTTATTATTTATAAACAGGAATTTATATTATATTTTTTTATAGACTCTGCGAACATGTCAACGATCTGTACAGCTTTTCCCTTCTGCTTAATTTTCTCATGGCTTCGATGCAAATCTGTTTCATAGCCTTTCAGGTCACAGAATCAACCGTAGAAGTCATTATAATTTACTGCATATTCCTAATGACCTCTATGGTTCAAGTGTTTTTGGTTTGCTACTATGGAGACTTATTGATCGCTGCGGTAAGATTATATAGAAATGTTTATACCACAATCTCCATTTTAATATTTTTTTTAGAGCTTGAAAGTCGGCGATGCTGCCTACAACCAAAAGTGGTTTCAATGCAGCAAATCTTATTGCGGCATGTTGAAGCTACTAATTATGAGAAGTCAGAAGCCAGCTTCAATTAGACCCCCAACTTTTCCACCCATTTCTTTGGTTACCTATATGAAGGTGCGATAAACTGATAAATTTTTTAATATTTATAACCATCTTATTTTATTCTTAGGTCATCAGCATGTCGTATCAGTTCTTTGCCCTGCTGCGAACTACATACAGTGATAATTGAATATGCAGTGCACTTTTTTTGCTCCTCTCAAAACATCCACTTGGTGGGAATCGATTCGTTAATAGGGATTTTCAACATCACTTCAAAATCTCCCCCACACGCAGCTCCTCCCTGCAATCCAACGCCAATCGCTACAACTGAAGCATTCGAACTTAATGACGCCCTCGACACGCTTTGATAATATTTAATTAAAAATCGCATTTAAAATTAATAAGCTTAAATGGAGACCAATAGCGCCTGGCCGAGCACGAAAATCCGGCAGCAGTAAAGGCACACGAGCCAAACAAAATAATAATTTTTTTCAAAAGGAATATTACAGCACCGTTCACAAAAAAAGCGTCAAGAACCGGGGGGGGCGCAAATAAAAAGCTGGAGCAGCAGCAGCAGCAACGTGGCTCCCATCCGCCTAAAAGTAATACTCCCCCATTCTGACCTGGTAATAAAAGGAACAACATAAAACGCAATCACAATCATCGACAATAATCTGGCAGCAGCAACAACCAACAAAAAAATGCTTATTATAAAATTTCACAGTTTTTCAATGAGCAAAAAAATGGTGGAGTGATGCGGTGGTGCAGTGGTTCAGTGGTGGTGCGGGGGTGGAATGGCAATGGCTTTTCAAAATCATAATGGCAGCTAGTAACAAGAGTTTTGTGTGCAAATAAGTGGGCGGGGGTGGCATAAAAATTTGTTTTGCCATGGCGGCCAACCGATCGGAGCCGGAGCATCGGAACTGGCCACGTCAGCAGGAGATGCCTCCATCTCCTCAGCTTTTAAACAATCCACGGTTCTGTGCACTGCGAAAAAGATAAGGGGATAAGAACTAGTTTCGAATGGGTGCAATACCAACAGGTTATATTTCTTTAAATATTAATGGTCTGTTTAAAATCAAAGAACGAATATTAAACACAGAATATTGTAGAATTCACTGAAAATTTAGGAATCCATTTTTAGTGAAAATTGTAACCAGCTATAAACATATTTTTAAATACAAAAGTAGAAAATTAGTTTCCTCAAATGTGTTTGTTTGTGGGCCTAGACCTTGAAAGTGAGCTCTCCATTTGTGGATTTTTTTATAGGATAATTTTTAATTCGTAGATACCTATAATTTAAAATAAAAATAGTATGTAGTACAGAACATAATATACTGATATAATTTGACTTTTACCTGTCAGGAACTTAAGCATCTCGCTTAGAAGATTGTGAGCCTATGAATTTAAATTAATATTTTAGAAGATAATTTAGAAAACTAGAGAAATCACTATTGTTTTTTTTCGGTGTTCGCCTCCGATGTGCACGTCACGCGCGACCACTTAAAAAACCTTGGCCGCCCAACCACCCACTGCTCCTATGCGCCCCAGCCCCACTTTATCCCCACCTCCCCTTCTCAGCCACCCCCCTTTTCCATCCCCTGCCCACAGCTCGTTGCATTTTCCCTTAACAGGCCGTTAGTCGTTATTATTTTGGTCCATTGACGCTGCGGGCCATTGCTATATAGTGTATACACAAGGCGAAGAAGCGAGTGCTGTGTATATATAATGGCTCCTGCATATAGAGGTGGGAGCAGGGGGAGCGGGGAACCGGGGAGGTCCTTATGTACCACCCCCAGGATACGGACTCGAACCCAAACCCGAACTCGAACTCAAACTCGCACTCGCACTCGCACTCGGATTCGGACCATCCACCCTCGGTGACGTTGATGTCCCGTATTGGAATCGCGTTCGTTTCGTTTTGGTTCTGCTCTTGGTCCTTGGTCCTTGGTCCTTGGTCCTTGGTCCTCGTTCCTCCTCATCACCATCCTCATCCTCATCAGCATCAGCATCACCATCTCTATCGTCATCATCATCGCCAGCAGGAGCAGCACGATGGAACTCTGGATGGGGGCACACTCTGAACCACCAGGAGGGCAATTTTTATAATTTTAGTCTCGTTTGCTTTGAATTTACTTTTTATTTTCTTTTTTTCTGTTTTTTTTTTTTGCTCCTGCCAGCGCTGTTTCTTTTCAAGCTTCCCTTGGCTTGACTCCTCCCCGATTTTTTATTTTTCAGGATTTCGTCCTGGCGGGTGGATGCTTTTTTCTGCCCCCCGTCCCCGATTTCTTTGGCTTGTTTCTTTTCTAACATTTCTTGTCAGCCAGCGGAGACAGACAGAGACGGATGCATCGGGTGTGAGCGAGAGGCACAAGCTCAGATTTACTTATGGCCTTTGTATTGGTTTCAGTTGACGCTTTCCAACTCCCACCAGCGAATGCAAAATGGCGTTGACTGTATTGATTTTTGATTTATTGCCGATTTGTCTTGTTTATGGCCAGATTGCGGGACCAACAAGCCAGCCAATGCCGGTTAATGATTAGTCATCTGCTGGCCAACTGTACTGCAGATGAATGCCAGAAGGACAAAGGATCTAAATACTTGGCGCTTTTGTTCAATTTAATACGTATAATTACACAGAGGAAGTGTCAGTGCGTGTTATTTATCTGCTGAAGCAATAAAAACATTTTTGTTTGCAGTTTGTTTAGGATATTTTGGTGTTTTTATTTGTTCTACAATTAAAACAAATTAAACTCACCACTAACATTATCTCATAGAAGAAAATTTAAGTATTATATAAATAAAGTTAGAAAATTATCCTACAAAAATAAATATAAAAAAAAACATTGACCATTTTAGGCAAAGGGAAAACATTGTCTATCTTATATAATTAATAATATTAGACAAATATAATAAACATCAAGTGGCTCATAGCTTAATTAACAGGAATGCAGTCTTGAATATTTCTTTAGCCTCTTCGTTTCAATCAATTAGACGAATTATCTATTTCGTTGTCATTTTACCAATCAGCCTCTGGCTGATGTCCTTTTATCGAACATTCTTCCCTGCCCGTTGCCTTCGCTCCATTTGCTGCTCATATTTCCTGTCGCATTTTCCCCCCATTAAGGCAAACATTTTGTGTCGTTTTATTTTGAAAAGTTGAGGAGGAGCGGAAAAAATCGCCGGACACAAAGTACGCAAATACGTGAAGAAATCTTTTTATTTTGCGCAGCATTCGAGCTCATCAGCTTTTAATTTTATGCTCTTCCCGGGGACACAGGACCCCATGTCCTGGGACTCCTCAGAAGAGACCAGGACTCGGCGCGAGTTTAAGACTCAGTCTCGTGGCAACCGGCGCTAATGAGATCCAAGCGAAGAGCCCGGGCAACTTTCCATTACGTTGAGTTTTTCCAGCTTTTCCTCGTTTTTTCCCCATCGCTTCTTCTTCGTCTTCTGTTGCTTCTTCTTCGCTTTTTGTTGTATTTCATGCTGAACCTTTGTGCGATGGCTCGCCATTTTCCCCATAGGACAGCAAATGTCCTTTTGGCTTGTTAAGAAAATGTCGTAGTCGCTCTCTAATGCTCGACAAGAAGGGCCGGAAAATTCCGGGGGTTTCGGGGGGGTTTTTTGGGTGGCTTGGGGTGTTCGTACACGACTGACTAGTTGTCGTTGTTGTTTTTTCCTCCGTGGCGCTCTTAAATTAGAAAAATGTAAATTTATTTTAATTAAGATAAATAAGTAACAAAATGTTTTATGGAAATTACGTTAACAACGCGTAGACAAGAGGGTGACGGGTGACTTCAAGTGGGTGGGTGGCACTTTCGACCATTACTGGACAAGGAGGCAGTAAAGGAGGGAAGGAGAAAGGAAGGAAGGACGAGGGGACCGCAGGACAACTGCTTTGGCATGCAAATACACATAATCAGCAGGCAGCAGGCAAACAGCTAACAACAAAAAAAGTCGAGGAGGTCCACCTCCCCCTGGAAAATGGAATTATTTTTTCCCATTTGTATATTCCGCCATTTTTTTTGTTGTACGGCTTTGTTGAAAAGTTTTGCCGACTGTTTGCTCGCTCGCTTCTGCGTATTTTTATTAACATCGATCGATGAGTGATTCCCGTTTGTTTGCATTGATTACCCATGTACACACACTTTCGACGGCCACTGTTATCGACACTCGTCTGATGGCCGATGTTGAAACTTTTAATTGAGTGCCCCCACCAAGGACTTAACAATTAATAAAATATTTTCCCGTTGTTCTTGTTCAAATTAATCAGAGAATTAACAAAGCAAAAAATATATATGGCTGTTCATTTATGGACAAAGTTCGAAAAGTTTAAATGGCATTGGCTGGCATTTTTTTTATTTACTATTCAAACAGTCTCGAGTACAAATTTGTATTCAAAATATAAACATTAAATTTAAAGCTTTAAGACTCAAAGTACCCGCTGAAATATTGTTCGATGATCCGGTGGGATAGCTTGTAGACTTCCACGTTCTCGTGGGTCTGCAGCTCTGCGATTTTGGCTAATCCTCCACAATCAATAATAGATTTTACCAAAATCCCTTGGCACTCGACCTTTTTCAGCATGTTTTCGAGGCCATTCAAAACAGCGAAGGTTACCTGTTCGAATTGGCAAGTGAGGAGCTCGCAAAACGGTGCAAGGCCATCTTCCCTGAGGAAAGTCAACAACTGTTCTCTGTTGCACCTGATGGTGAGATTACTAATGGCCCTGGCAGCCACAGCCTTCTCATGGAACATACCACTCTTCAGTATCCTGATGATTTTGCCCAACAATCCCACGTTTATGAAGGCCTGCACCCAAGCCTGATTGCGGGAGGTTGCTCGCCAGAGTAACTTGACGTTCCCCTCGAGGATTTTGTCTTCAAAATAAAAAATCGCCGATGGAAAATAGGGCAGTGGATCGTTGTTTAGAACTGCCTGGCATTGATCATCGGTCCCGGCCAGAATATTGGCCATCGCCTGCATGGCTGCATTCTGCACTTGCACCTCCTCATGACCCATCAAGGCTATCAACTGCCCCAGAAATCCACTCTCAATCAGCATTTGAATGTACTCCTGTCCACCGCCGGCCAGGAATGTAATCGCCCACAGGGAACACTTTAAAATGTCAACGTTCTTGTGACTGATCAGCACATGAAGATGTGGCAAGATCTCCTGGATAACTTTCCCTGAAAGCTGCGGCTCGTAGTGTCGAAACAGATTGACAATCGCCAAGGTGACATGGCCCAGAAAATCGGTGGGCGTATCGGGATGTACGAAACCGGTCAAAATTGGAACTATGCCCAGTTTGATGACAAAGTCACGAAGCAAAGGACCATCGCCAATTATATTAGCCAAAGCCCAAATGGCCTGTTCACGGACATCTAAGTCTGGCGATTTGAGAAGCTCTAATAATTGTGGCACAGCTCCAGCTGCCACAACCTAAAAGGAATAAAATATATTCTATGTTTAGTATGATATATATGGAATATATAGTTTTAATCCCACCTGAGTGGTCTGCTCTGTATCGCCAGAGGCAATATTGGTCAACGCCCAAGCGGCTTCAAGTTGCAGTTCCTTGTGGCTTTTTTGCTTAAGGCACTCCACCAAAAATGGAAGTTCTTCATTGAGGTTAATTGTGGATGGACTTTCCGAGGTGAACATATTGCGAATTTTTTTCACTGCGACTAGTTGTAACTCAAAGTAACCGGCATCCCCCGCTTCCTGAGGAAAATTTTGTAAGATTTCCTTTGGAATCGAGTCAATAATAGTGAAATCATTATTGTCGTCCACATTTTCACTGATGCTCTGCCAATTCTCATTCACTTTTTGAACATTACCCGGCGGCATTATTGGTCTTCAATTAATGGTTAGTTTAAGACACGTACTATATAGTAAGTTGTTTTCGGTTTGAAATATATATAATTCTTAGCTGTCTGTACTTGATATTAGTTTTAATTCGAAAGTTTGACAACATTCGAGTTGACATTTCGATAGTACAAACTTTTAATTCTTTCCCAAGAAAAAATAATCTTTTCCATACTTTTTAAAAAGTGTAATAACATTTTTTTACAATTTCCTTCTTCTATAATAAAATCCAATTAGGAAATTGACATTTTTAATTAATTATTACTCACCTTGCCATCTTGTGTTTATAATTAGGATTTCGGCTTGCATTTACTTGCCCTCAAGTGCGTCCTAATTTTCAGAGTTCCAACTGCCTGTGAAAAACCAGCGAAATCCACTTGGACACCACCACCTCCTCCAACTTTATTTTGGCTTACCGATTTCTTGTGCTTGGCCCACAGCATACTTTTCGAGCTTAATGGTTTAAATATTTACTCGTAATTAAAATTCAGCTTTATGCACATCACAAGTGCATAATCACAGACCAAACTAGACCGGGCAAGGCCATTGAGACAATTTTTTTCGAGCGCCAAGAGCTGCCAACGCCCCATGCGGCTGACACTGCCTGCAAAAAGTGGATGCCCAAGGATTCGGATGGTGGTGTACGAGGAGTCCAAGGAGCAGCAGGATCACAAGGAGCCGGAGAAGCTGGAGGAGCAGGAGGAGCTGGAGCAGCCATTGCTGACATTAGCCGTGGGGCGGAGTAAGCAACTGAAGATTATGTCGCCCCCAAAGTAAATGAAACTTATGCACAAATTACACAAGTCAGTTGACTGGCATCTACACAAATGCACTAAACAAAAAACTATATTTTATGTAGGAAAATTTTGTTCGGAAGATTAAATAATTGAATTAAAGAAATTAAATAATTAAATAAAAAAGATTTAAAAGGTTTTGAAGATTGTAATATGTCTCTAAATAATTTTCAATATGTAAATAATTTAACTTGCTAATGTTTTATTGATATACATTTAAAAAATATTAACTATTCGCTTAGAAAATTTATTTGCAAAGGGGGTTTGTGGTGTTTGAATTCCTTTGCTTTTATATAGGTACTATTTTAGCTTTATAATATTTAATTTTCGGAGTGCATTTCTGCTCGGAAAGCGTCCCTCTCTGCGGCCGACTATCCACTCGAGGCGGCGTCGGCACTGGTCTCTGCTCATAATTAAAACCCGAGCTGAATGAAATCGCATAAAATGAATTAAACATTTTAAGGCTATTTAGGGGCGTAGGTAGGTGTAAGCAGGGGGCGTGGTCGCTGCATGGACCTGGATGGAGGCTGTATTGCTCTTGGGACAATTGCAGCGTTAAATGAAATATTAATGGCATGGATGTCGGCAAGGAGCGGCTCGGTGTTCTTTGGCTCTAATAAAGCGATGTTCCAGGACGAAGGGACGAGCGACTCGGCATAGAGCAGGGGAAGCTTTTAATGATATATATACTTCTTTTTTTCCTGGTTTTTTTTTTTTTTTTTTTTTTGCAACTTCTACCGCTGTTGTTTTGCGCACACACACAGAGTTTTTCAAGTGCATCATTATTTGTTGCAAATGGAGGCTGGCGGGAATGAAAAAAATCGCAGAATGGGCTCGCAGGCTGTGCAAATTCAATGCGCTGCATTTTTAATCCCAGCGCAAGGTTTTTCTCCTCTTTTCAATGCCTCAACTCAAGTGCATGCCACACCCCCTTTTCCTTTTCCGTCGCGCCCTGCACTTCATATGCAAACATTTATGATGACGTCGAAAGGGGGCGTTGGGCGGTTGACGGTGGGCGGTGGGCGTTAAGGGGGCGGTGCCGCTGCGGTTCGCACAAAGGTAGCCCGCCCAGCTTTTGTTTCCATAGGGGAGGCATGTGTGTTTGTGTCGAGTGCAGGCCGCATAATGGGATGTCTGATGAAGCTCTTAGTCGGCATAATTACTTTTTTTTAGCGTTTTCCACCCGCCTTTCTCTCGCGTCAGCAAAGCAAATGATACTCTATGGGGTCTCCACCGCTCCTCAGTCCCCGAAAGTGCTCGCCAGCGACGGGACAATCAATCGGAGGCGGTTCCAAATTAAAGGACTAGGTCAAAAGTGCCGCCTCAAAGTGGCACTCATTAGAATCAAAGGTAGCTGGATTCAGTGTCACAGAAATGTGGTAATGAATAAGCAGAAAAATCTTAATGGATTCAAAAGATAAAAAGATAAAATAAACCTAAGAAATAAATGATTTTCAATATTGCCAATTTTTATTATAATTTAATTTAAAATTGTAGAGCTGATTGTCTGGAAATTCGACGTGATTATTTATCTGTATTCTTACAACTCAATTATTAATTAACTTGCTTTCAACTTAGTTTTAAAATTATTAACAAGTGTAATTAGGAGCTTAAATGTCTCATTTAATATTTAAAAATACAACTGGTACAAATGCTTAGTTGCTTAACTAGGAACCTCAATAAAGTAACAAGCAAACAATATGTATATTTCCTAATGAGGAAGTCTTAGCAATCGATTTAGACTCGGAGAAGGAACTGCGAAATATCAGCAGGAGGTGCCCGACCACTTGAGTGCCAATTAAAAATGTGTAAATAATTTCTTCGACAATTACGGGCCAGACAAAAGAGCCCGTGTTCGAATATGAGTTTCGGAGGGGATAAAGACGCTCGCAAGGAAGGCGAACCTGTGGCCAGGAGCTCCGAAGGAAGCGAATTTATGGCAACTGCATTAGCATAGAATGAGCAGGGTTAAGGATTGTCGAGAGTGGAGAGGCCCAAGAAAAGGACCGCTGGCAAATCATAAACATAAATCGTGGGAAACGACGGTGGCGGCAATATTCAAATTAGACGAAATGTCACTTCACAGGACACAATCCGGGCCAAAGGATAATGCGGCATTAGGCACTAAGGCAACAGTTTTGTCAACGCGGTTCAGTGAAAGGGTGAAGTACACAAAAAAAAGGTGAAAGATGAATGCCACGTAATGAATGGAGATCGGTTTTTTGACTGGCGTTCGCCGATTGTGTTCTCACAATGTGGCGATCATCTCTGTTTTCTATTTTCCGTGTTTGGGACTCCGATTGCGATTGTGTCGAGGGTCCAGAGGATCCTGCTCTATTCCCCCTCCTCCCTCCTCCCATTTTAATTGAATTCCTACCTGAATTCACCCGAAACTTGTCCAGCTGCATCCCGAAAAGGGGTTTAATTTATTCCCTTTCCCGGGATATTCATATGCGAAATGGCTCAAATATTTTCATAAAAAATACCACAATAATTCGTCAAGGAAACCGGTCGATCCGGTTCTATATTATTTACTGTTATCCTTTTTTCAGCAACCATGCCCATCTAAACAAAAGTACAAGCTTTCAGGTAAAGGATCATGGACTTTAGTTTAGCTTGATTTCGTTGACTAACAAATAAACGTTTATTTGTATTTTTAAATAAAAAATAAAACAAATTATTACTTTTGATAGTTTTCAATTTTTCTATCAAACTTTTTTCAGCTATTTTTCCCACTTTATTTTTGACGCATAATTCCATTAACTTTTGTTTTCATCTCAAACCCAACTTCTGCCAGCTGCTGGCTGAATTTCTCCATTTTGTGGCAACTTAATTTACGCTGAAATCCATTTGACTTTATCTGACATTCCAATCAAGTCGTCTAAAAATTTGTTACAAAAAAAAATTATAATAGAATGTAAAAAATGAGAAACTTGCCAGCAGTCACGTCGTACAACTTTTGCTACAAATTTTTTACAGAATCCGTTTATTCGTTTTTTTTGAGGATTTTTTTCTCGTTTTCGGCGAGGCGTTGATGAGGAGGGGAATTCCTCCAGGACTATGCCGATGATCGTGGGGTGGCACTCCACTAATGGCCAAATGCCCACCCCTCGCAGCTTCCACGTACTGAAATAATTCAATTGTTCGTGCCGCACAGAAAGCGACGCGGAAAAATTAAAATAGTGAGGAACACAACACCATAAAAAAAAAACAAGAGAAAATGCCGAAAAAACGTTCTCCCTGACAACAATATTGTACGTATTGCGTACTTATGGTCTATATAGGTGAATATATATACCTCATGGAAACGACTTCCTCCCCTTTCCCCTCTTCCTCTTCTCTCTTCGCCTTACGCACATAATTTCCGGTGGGTTTTTATTAAAATCTTTTTTTCTGATTTTTTTCGTCGTTTGTTTTTTTTTCTCTTTGGAATCACATGCTGACATATTCTCTTTTAACAATAAAGGACCCGAAACGGAAGAATAAAAAAAAACAACAGAAAATTTGTAATTTTATAGTCAAACTGTAACAATTTTTTGTGTCCTTACGGGGTGCTGTTCACTGGAAATGAAACGAAATTAAAATAAAAAAGCGCTCACTTTATGCTCTATAAATTTTAATGTAAATGGATTTTGGCCTGTTGTTGTCTTTGTTACTTCGCCTCGCTTTGCAACGCTTGTTAGCTTAAAAGCGCATTGCCACTGACAAGCTGTCTGCTACATTTAGTGTTATAAATTGTGACCCAAAGCAGCGGAAAAAAAATCGGATTTTAATGCCCGGACTTGTCGAGTGGAACTCCAAATCGGGTGTAGCGAATTTTGGTAAATTCTTGTGAATCTAGTTAGATTAAGGCGAAAACAACATCGTTATTGGATGTAACGCATATAAATAGAATAAAAATAGAACATAGGTAAAAGTTGGCTTCGAAAACTATATATTATATTTCTCGATATCGCAAACTTTAAGTATACTATATAAATTTTTTCTGTTAGAGTCAACATTCTTTGTATGGTGTACACATTAAAAGACAGGTTTTAAATAAGAAATAAAAGTATTAAATATTTTAAAACATAAAAATATATATGTTTTTATTAGAAATTTATAATGTATTATATAAAAATCGTATCTTTATAAATTTTAATGTTCACCTTTAATCCAATTTTAATATACTTCTCAATATATTCCCTATTTATGTGCCCACCAATCCATTTGATTAATAGACTGTGGCAACCATCAACTTTCCTTCAATTAAGGGGACATTTTCCGGTAGATTTCCCCGCTTAGACAACTTCATCAGCATCCATCAAAATCTTCCACTAACTTCAAACCACATTAATCTAGTTTGCGATGTGAGAACATCAATCAACCAGAGGCAAAAAAAAAAACCAAAATAGCAACAGGAGGATTCCTTCTATATCTATTTTCCTCCCTCTCGTTTCACAGATTTCCATGCATTCTTTTTTGCAAATTTATTGACAAACAAATGGGATTTTGACGGTGCCGTCAGCAAGTCAATAAAGCCGAGTCACAAAATTGTCAGTTTCAAGTGCTTGAGCAAATTTCACAATCAACAAAAGTGGACGACAAAAAAGTAAGCCTATTAACCTTTTTCTCCTCCGCCAAAATACAAAATAAAAAAAAACGTCAGGGGTTGCACCCCTGCTGAATCTCACCCCTGGCACAAAAGTCAGGGTTAAGGGTTCCAGGATTCAGGATTCAGGATTCAGGACTCAGGATTCGGGGTTCGTTCAATGCTCACTTAGCTGTTTTGTTGCTGCTACAATTTCGACTGCTGTTGTTGCACTGATCGATTGTGCGGTTCCTATTGATTGGGATATTGATTGTTGATACTCTCATTAGCAGAAAAAAAAGGGCTGGGGTTTTGGGAAATTGTCACCCCTCAGGGGTTTTCCCCGCCCATTGCCACCAATTTGCTGCTCATAATTGCACTGTCTGTGGCAGCCAAGTAATTATTTTAATACTTTAATTTGCCACCTGAGTTCATTGGCGCCTCCCGTGGGTTTTTCCTGCCCCCTCAGCTGACCCTTTTGTGTGTCGCCGCCTCCCGAGGCGCGGATGCCAAATGAAAATGCCGCAGACGCAGCCAAACCAACCAGAAGAAGTTCGTTTCAGCCAAAAAGCTCAGCGGGAAAAACTGGCAAAAATAGAAAAAAGTGTACAGTCACCAAAGAATCGGGCGAGCTCTATAAATTGGGAATGAAACTTACGAAGCTTAATCAAAAAAGAATATTCAGCTTAAATTGACTAACAAGTAAAACATCTGTTTAAACAAACAACAAATATTATCCAACGTTTTTATCTTAATGCTTTTAAAACACTTCCACTAAATTTTTAAAAACGTTTAAAAGTAATTAAGGTAAACAAATACAATTATAGAACACTTGAATACCTTTAGATTTTAAAGAGTATCTCTATGTCTTAACGTTCCTATCAGACTCCAGAAAAACTGCACTTTTTGCACCTCTCCTCGGGCATCAATTCCACTTGCAGCTCATCTGAGAGTTCTTGTGGCTGACTCGCCTTCAGGGATTTCATTAAAAAATGCCTCAGCTTTTCCATTTGCCATTGCCACATTTGCAAACCGCAGAAAGTCAGAGAAAAGCCGAAGAGAACGGGATAAATGGAGTCTGTGGCGGGGGAAAGAAGGAACAGCGGAGCTGCTAAATGAAAATGCCTTTAAGCTGCATGTTAAATTCCATTCGGTTTTGGCTCACTAATATTTCTTCATTATGCCGCATATTTGAGGGCATTTCGTTCCGTCGCCTTGCTAAATATTTTCCGGTTAATAAAATTATTTGCAAGCCAAGTTAGAGCGGCCCACCGCCAAAAATGCTCCCATCGCCGCTGGCCAATTCAGTCTGGTTAGAAAACTATTATTTTTCACACAAAGTACAATATAAACTCGCCGCGGGTGGCCTTATTAAATTCGTAGCTTTCTCCGCGGTAAAAGGAAAAGGGAGGCGTGGCGAAGGGCGGGGAAAAAGCGGGAAAAGCTGGGAGGGATCCTCGCCACGCTCTCGTAATTCCTTCAAGGGAAATCTTTTCAATTACAATTCGTGCAGATGGCTGCGTTTCCTTGGCGTTTCTTTTTCTCCATTTTCCCTCCGAATTTTCCCCCTTTTTTCCCGGTTATATTTTCCGTTGCTTCTCTGACGATGCTGATGCTGCTGCCAGGCGTAAAAAGCAAACCAAACCAGCGGCAGGCAGGCAGGCAGACAGTGGCAATTTCTTTTCATTTCGCGTGTCTCCTGTTGACAAACTGCTGTGTCCCTGCCTCAGGGAAATCCTCGAGTGGCGCTGCGACATTATAAGGACGCTCAAAGAGGGGGCTTTTCACTTCAAAAGGTGAGCGGAGGCCGCCTTGCAGTTAATTAGTGTGTGGTGCGCACTTCTAATTGCATGTGACAGATGCTGCTGATGCACTTGCTGCTGGATAAAAGCCCCATCTCACCATCTCACCGGCATTGAGAATCCGAAGGAAAAGCAAGGGAAAGGAAAAGGAGCGGGGAGTGCTCTTTACGACTTCATAAACCAAGTCCAACCGGGGCGATCTCTATGAAGTCAATAATTTTATTGAAGACTGCCAGCAGTGTTAGCTTGCTGGCTATTTTCTGGCTTTCAGAGTATTTTCTAAGGAAAGCCACTTCTATAATGATTTTCCTGGATACTTTGAGAGATTATTGTTTTAAAACGATCAAAAGTACCTCGTTTGTAGCTCTTTTAAAAATAATAGAAATAATTTAAAGCATACATCAACACTTCAAGTAATACATTTTTAAAATAAAAAAATACTTTTTTTTTATTAAGCTTATCTTTATTTTCGCACCACTATATTTTCAGTGGTGCTTCTACTATACCGGTGGTCGGTGGTGGTGGTAAGACCAAGTGGTTTGGGCGGTGCAAGGTGTATGAAAGTTATGCCGCTGGCTACAAATTGGAAAACCATTTTAGCGCTAATGAAGATCCACCCATTGCTTGTAGCGCCATCGCAAATAAAAAACTTTTATGACCTGGCCAAAAGGCAGAGGATTGCAAGTCCCTGGCAATGCAAAAATTTATGTGGCTGGCATTAACGATGAAAATTTTGGAATACTCTGCAACCAATAAAGAGGTTATAGCCTACTAAAATATTTATTTTTCTTATGTTGATTTACAGTCCAATGGTAATGGTCAATTTTTGGGAATTCGTTGATTTATGCTATAATCTTGAAATATCTATTTTTTCCTAAGTTGCACCTATAACTTTTCTTAATAACCATAAAAAAAATAATCATTTTTTTTAACATGAATTGATAAAACCTATTTTTTATTTCGATTAAAAGTCGGCTAAAACTCCTTTAGTTTTAAGAAAAGAGTATTCCCATTCAGATCGGCCCACCGACGGGCAATAAAAATTAGTTTATTGTTGACACTGATTGAGCAGATTCCCTAATGGAAGTGCTGGCCTCCACTTTATGGATCTCGATCAAAAAATCCCCCACCTTCCGATTGGCAACGCCCCCAGTTTGTCGCTTATCGATTGCTGTGGATACGCCTCCTTTTTTGCTTTCGGAGAGCAGCAACATTCTCGAGTGATTTGTGCATTCATTAACATTTTCTGAACATTCGAATGGTCGCCGTGAAGAAAAAATTGAGTTATGCGATTTTGTCATGTTTACTGACAAATTACAGATGAATTTTATTTCCACGCTGAACCATAGAACTCTGACATAATCCGCTTAAATGCATTGGGGAGCTTTTGCAATAAATTCCAGTGCATTGTTCCATGTCACTAAATCATATCAACAGCGAAAAATTTATGCCTGCCCACATGGTTTTGGATTCAGATTGGGATCGAGACAGAGTGCCAGTCGATATCGTTTGGGTGGACCAATTAAAATGCAAGAATTGTTAATGCGCGACATTAAAATTCATTATTATTACACACGTTTATTGCTCCAATCGCCGCTCACATGCCAGCAATTGTTGTAGCTGGCTCTTGGTCCATGCAAATGTCTGGTGAAAACGCTTTGGGCCATTTAGGCAGCTTAGCCACGTTAGTTAAGACTAGAGGCGGCAGAGGCAAGTGCAGAAAAAACAGAGGAGTTGCTATAAAAAGGAAACAAGGAGATCTATCTGAACGGCAAAGTATGTTTAAATATTAAATAACAATAAGTATTTAAAGAAGCTATACACTTTAAACATTGTTTTTAACTGACGCCAATAAACAATAAAATATTAAAATGGTTAAATAATAATATCATTAATCAAAAATGATTTAGAAATATAATTTTTACTTTTATTAAAAATGTTGTATATAATATTCTTAATTTAAGGTATTAACCAAACTATAAAACCCCTTTCAATCTACTCCCCTGACCAAATCAGCACCTGAGGCCCGTAAAAAGAACGTCACACGACTGCTATTTATGGACAACTCCTACCGTCTGTCAAACGCGTCAAAGACCAGCCCCAGTCGCTTGTAATTAATTGACAATAATTTCAGTTATTTCTTGTGTCAGCCGTATGGAGATTTGCCCTCTTTGGCCGTCAGGTTATATATTTATATGTTTATATTCAGCTCATGTCGTCGTCCACCTTCGTTTAGTGTCATTAAGGTTGAAAAATATCCCAACATGTTGTTTTACTAGCTGGTTCCTAGACAATCAAGTCACTTACACTGAGCTAAATAATTAGTAAATTTGAATAATAATTTTCCCAAGATAAAATATATCAATTTATCAAGCAACGCCAAACTTATGATTAAACTTGCATGAACGTATTAAAATGATTTTTCTTTAATTTATTTAACCATTTAAATATGCAGAAACTAATTTCCTTTTTTTTTAAGTGGCTCAACCAAAATCAAGTCGTTATAATTTATGGACAGACACACTTGTGACAACTTTTTCTGCAATTGTTACCTTGCTTATTGAGTTGTTAACAAAAGCTGTTTTCGATCGCCGGCCAGCTGTCCGTCCCTAGAAAACGGACGGACATCTAATCCATCTAATCTGGCATCGAAGTTTGCGGCGCGATAGTCTGTGAAAACCCCAGAAGGGCAGGCAGATCGATCGCAGCCACCCCTCGAGGCCCGATGACCTCTGACCCGTTCTGATTTTAGATGGCGATAGGCCAGACTAGATAGCGACAGCTGCTCGATTTCGGAGGTAAGGCAAATATACTCGTATGTAGGACCTCACAGTCGACTGCACAACAAAAGCTGCCCGGGAGTGGGCCTTAACCCTTTAGGTTACACTCAGAAAAATCGAGTGATCTTGTAAGAGTGATAAGTGTAATAAAGCGTATTTTTAAAATTTTGTACAAAAGAGAGTATGTAAAAATTTAATTACCCAATTTTATAGGTTTAAATAAATATTTTTTGGTAATATGTTAGAAATTTTTTTTGTTCTTTTAATTCAATAATATCTGAAAAACAAGATAATCAAATTAATATGTCAAGAATTTAATAAAATTAATCAAGTTTGTTTTTAAAGCTTAGGTTTTAAGTTGTTTTTATTTAGAATATGTTATTTCTTTTGTAATTGGAAAATATTAACTTATCTTTTTTTGTAAGTGTGCAGCTCTACTTGCAGCCGAAAAAATCGTTGTAAAACATTTTTAATATGCACGCACGGTGACCCGTGGCTTGCCGCTACCCTCGAACCCTTTTCCCGCTGGCCGAGCTTGAATCGCAGTTCATTTCGAGATGCGCCTGAATTCCGAATCCCATATTCCTGGATGGTCCGGCTAGACAGCTGCCCCGCCCCCCGCTCCTCGCCCCTCACCTCACCGCCCTTGGCCCGTAATTACACGGGGCATTTGCTTGGCCTTTGTTTCGCGTTTCGCTTCCTTTTTTTCAGATTTATTTTCCGCTCCTCGACGCTGCCCTGTTTGCATATCCCGGCATCCCGTTGAAGGATAAAGGCGCGCGCTTAAATAAGCAATTACCGTGTGCCAGCGACCAGCATCCTGTCAAAGTCCTGCCCAGCGTCCTGCCGAAAAGAGGAGTAAAAAATACCCAGAAAAGGGTTGAGCCACTCGGCGTGGACAAAGCGCCGCAGCAAAAAAGGGTTCGAAAAAGGGGAAGAAAAATCGGGCAAAAAACACACACAGCACACAGTTCGCCCGGCTGTCGGCTCTGATTTAAATCTTTGGCCATGACATGTGGCGACCAGACAAGGTCCACCCTGCAACCCCTTCCACCTTTTCATCTTTTTTAGCCGCTGCTCGCTAAAAATCCTTTTATTGATTTTTAGCCAGCGCTAAAAACGGTCAGACAAGTTCAAGTTCAAGCAACACTTGGTAATTAATTTTGCCGGCGAGCGGCTAAAAGTAAAGTGCGTGTCAGGCTCATTAGCATAGGGCCCCGGGAAAAGGGTCATTGTGCTTTTAATTGGAAAGCATTCCGAGGGAAAGCTTCTCGAGGGGGGTAATGAAAACTCATTAAGATTTCTCCGCACAACCCTTTTTTCCGCCGGCTTTTCTGACCCAGTTTTTCCGGGCCAGCCAGCCAGGCTGACCTTCTTGTCCGTGGATCGTAATTAAGCAATTAGCTGCGGAACACTTTCGCCTTTCGCCGCTTTTTGCCTCTCCGCCGCCGCCTGTGAACTTGGTAACTGACCCACGGCAAGGTGAAGTGCTTTGGGCCAGGTGTGTAAATGGCCCCCTCTTCTGGTTCTCTTGGCTCTTTGTATCTGCGGCTCTGCACTTCCTGTCATTCGTTTCGGAAATCGCGACATCGTGATTGCATTTGGCATATGCACATGGTCATTCGATGATGCAGCTGGCAAAACAGCAGCAGCAACAACAAAAGCGAGAGAGACTTGGCCAACAAGTGGCCATTGACCAAATGGAGTGGCAGTTGCAGTTCCCCCTTCGCGGCATTGACACATTTTGTTCTTTTCATTTTTCGGTCTGCGGATGTGTGTATGGTAAGTTCCCACGCTCAACTGGCTTAACTGACCCGACGCAATGTGGATTCAGTTAAGTGGTCAATATTTTCTGCATTTGCCAATTTTTTCGCCAATTTTAAAACGCTGCATTTTTATAACAAGTCAATGCAATTTTAATAATCAGTTAAGTAAAAGTGTGGGTGTCACTCGATGGCTTGCATATAATTTTGAATTCTTTTAATTTGGTGTTTAATAAAGATAGATTTTTCAAGTTTAATTTAAGTTAAAGAAATTTTGTAGATCAGCGACTATTTAATTCTGTAGAGTAGCAAATACAATTTGTAAACTTGACGTCTTTTCGACTTTTAAACAATGATTGATTGATTGGTGCTTCTTGCAGCAGCTGCAAAGTGTTTTTTTTTCATTTTGGCCGCGTGGCAAAGGAGCTTTGATCGATCGGGACATTAGAAGTCTGCTCGATCGCATCTCTGAAACTTGATTTATGATCGCAGGCTCTGCTCCTTTCGATTTCTTGGTGAAGGACAGGGCCATAAATTAGATCGCCTCTGCGATAGTCGTGCAGAAAGTCCAATAACGCCGGAATTTGTTCTTCGCCGGCAGCTTTAAGGACGAAGCGACGGCTAATGAGGCGCTTTGCCAGGCACAAACGAAACCTGATCCAGGACTTTTAGGGGTTTTTGATACACTGAGGAAAATATTTTAAGTTTGTTTTAACATTTTTAAGTTTGGTTTCTGATTTCTTGATTTAGAATATTTCTTTCATTAGTTTTAACTAGACCGTTATACAAGTATTGTTTCCATTCTTTCTAGTTAAAATAACAGTAAAAGCTCTAATTTTAAACTAAGATGTTTCCTAAAGTTTCACAAATACAATTTTTAAGAATTAACTAAATGGTCGAAAACGGAAATTGGATTGCACATTTTTTAATAGTTTAATTTATAAAGGTACACTTCTGTAAACTTTTCGTTGTAACTCAAAGCTCTTATATGTAGATTTTCAGATTGATTCAGTAAGTAAGCAGAGTACCGCAAATATTCGGATAATTATCCAGAACATTTTCAACTCTGTTATTTGTTCTGTTATTTTTTTTTTTACCATTTTTATCGCAGTGTAGGGGCCATGGAAAGGGACCCGCATGGCTGTTTACCGTTGCATTATGCTCGCTGCTTGCCGCTTGCCTGATTTTTTGAGAGCCTCTCCTGCACTGAACCGTTCACCGGCGGCCATGGCAAAGGTCATGGGTGGGGCCGAAAGGGACTGGCGAAAAGGTGGCCAGGGGGCGGGGTCGGGTGGCTTAGCAACAATTGCGGCACTGCTGAGCCAGGCTTTTGTGCCTTTGGTCGGTTGCCAACCGCAAATATGTTCTCATTCTCGTTCCCATTCTCGTTCCCTGTTTGCATTCTCAGTCGGAGGTTTTATTTTCGCATTCTGCATTTGCTGCCATTGCAAAGTCAACTAATTGAATGTGCTAAACTCACCCACACACTCACAAATATCGCGTTATATGGCGCATTAAGCTCTCATTTCTGGATTTCCCCCTGACCCCGATGAGTCAACCTCCATTACTTTTTGGAATCCACAGAAAGAAACTATTGTGTGAAGCTTTATTAAATAAGACTTTACAAATAACAACAAATGTATGTATATACAATTACTGCCAACAAATGTATACTCTTTTTTAATAGATAAAATACTCTATGTTAGTTCGATGAGACTTAGTTTCTGTATATTTAAATAGTAATTCTGTATATTTAAGTGATTGCTTGTTTTGGGATTATTAAAATATTTGCTTAAAAAATTGACTTAAATTTTTTATTAATGAATAACGTTATGGGGACATTGAGAATAAAATTAAAGATTTTGTTTGTGTATGGGTGGTCCTCCCACCATTATGATGACTGTTGTTGATGACGATTCCTCCATTCCTCGCTGCGATTGTATGGGTAATTACACTGGTGTGTGTGTGTGAGTGAGGGACGTCTGCTGAATGTCCGTGGCCATGGGGTGGAATTTGCTCGCAGTTTTTTTCTATATCTACAGTTTTTAGCATTTTTTCCAACATTTCAGCAGCCTGTCTCTTTCCTTCCAACAGCAGCCATTCACCCTGCCCACATTTTTTTCCTCATCTGTTTTTTTTTGCGTTTTACTTGCGTCGGAAACCGCCATTTTTTATGCGCGCTAACTACGCCGCCCTCTCTGTTCCTCTCTCCCTCCCTCCCCCGCAGACCATCTCTGTCGCACCCTGTAAGTGTAAGGGAGGCGCACCCTCACAATCGCAATTTGCGCATTAGAAAAAATGTGGGCTGCTTTCTGCGTTGGTAGTATGTGTGTGCGTGTTTGTGTGGCATACAAAATGGATTTTTTGAGATTTTATTCAACAACACCCCTCTTTATCTCAATATTAATCAATCAATAACAACGATTTCGAACAACAATTTAAAGATGCAATTTCGTTTTTTTTTTTCTATTTAAAACAAATCTTAATTTATATTAAAAATTTTTGAAACCCAAGAGTTTTATCAAATAACATAAAATAAATTTGCTTGCACTTTGAAAGAAATGTTCACAAGAATTATAGCTTTGCTTTTAATACCTAAAAAGTTCAAGAAATTTAAGCAACATACTTTATACTTATTAAAAGAGTTTGAAACTATTTTCTTGGTAAAGAATATATCAACACAGAAATTCAAATTGAAAGTGTACTAAACTCTGAGCTTGGCATCACTGCTCTGGTGGTGCATCTCTTTGCTTTTAGTTCAATCTGATGGATGGTGTCCCAGCTTTAATGTGCTGGTGATTTGTGTCCTTGCTTATTTCTACATTTTGTGAGCTTGTGCTATCAATGCAGGTATAGAACTTTTGTCAATTTGTCAAGCAGAAAAAAAACTGACTTTAAACGTATAGTTTTGTTGTTGATTTTTTGGAAAATATTGTGTTAATCAAAATTTTTAATAAAATTCAATTTTAGGTAATTTGTTTAGTAACAAACCAAAGATAAACCAGGATTAATGCTGTTTGCTTTAATTTGTTTTAGTTTTTATTTAATGCTCTGCACATACAGCCAATAAAAAATATGTTGAAAAAGCTATTGTCGATTGGTCTACCAATTTACTCTTCCATGCAGTCTGCCAACAATTATTGATTGCGGAGGCTTAATAAAAAATAATTATTTTGTTGCATTATATATATGCTCTATAACAAAAAAAGATAGATTTAAAAACACACATTTTAAGACATTTCTTAATAAAATTGCACCATTTTTTTTAGAACCTAAACATTATATTAACCTAAATGATTATTAATTATGCGCACAATAAATCTCTGCCGCTTTTAATAATTTTTCAAAGCCTCCTTAACTTATACCCCAATTTGTAACAGTGTACTTGCAGTATGCGGACCAGTGATGCCAATTTGTCCTTTTTCCGGACAGATCTGTCCTGTTTTTAACCCTTCATCCGGAAAAAATTGAAAATCATCAGCATACCTGAAATCTATCCTTTTTAAGATTTTTCATCCGGAAATCTGTCCTTTTTTAAATCTAATATTATTTGCTCTCAAAAAGGCTAAATTCTGCCTATTTTAAATATATTTTCAATAAATTCTAAGATTAAAAGCAAAATAATTTCACAATATTTCAGTATTCACCTAATAAATTGGGAAAATATTGAAAATACTTCAACATTTTGGTCAGAAGTGCAGAGGTATCGGGATTCTGCAGGCAACAACCCCTATGAGGACCTCTCAGCCTGCTTTCATTGCCATGGTCAAATGCTGAGGTAGAGAGTTTTTTAAATATATGTATATATATTTTCAAAAGCTTACCGCTTATAAATACATGTATGTACATGTGTTCTTTCTTGAGATTTGGATTGCGTCGTCATAAATTATGTTGTCATAATTATAACTTGCCTGAAAAGTCTCTCCAATTAATTGGCTCCATGCCTACTTATGAGGACAGCAATAATGACGAAGGAAAGATAATCGAAGATGCCTTAAAACTATTATTTTAATAATAAAAACTAAAATTACTGTGAAAAAACTTGTTGTCCTTTTTTCTATCCTTTTTATAATATTTTCATCCTATTTTTCCCGTTTTTTTTCTCAATCTGTCCTTTTTTTTCGAAAAAATTTTGGCATCACTGATGCGGACTGTATTTTTGCTCTCCACTTTCGGTCACACTAGATATTGCGATACTTCATACAATAGCTATCGCGGTAATATATATGTTTCTTAAACATTATCGATATATACACATCCCTAGTTTGTACAAAACTTTTTTAACGATAGTGTGTTCAAAACAAAACAACATTGTTGCGATTTCGTTGGGGGCGTGGCCGCACCAACTCCGATCCAGTGCAACAAGAACGCAGCACGCGGAGCGCCGAAGAAAAGCAGGAAAAGCCGAGGAAACCCAAAGATAATCCTAACGAAATGAAGAGCAATGTTGGTCAAGGGGGGTACGCCCCACCGGGATTCGGATCCGGATTCCAGCCGAATGCTCCGCCCGCCGAAGGATTTGGATACCCGCCGCCCAGTGGCGGCCACTCCAGTCCGTATCCCCCTGGTCCCGGTCCCCAGCAGCCGCCGCCGCCCATGAATTACGTGAGTTCCAAAAGTGTCGCTTCGTTTGCGAAATTAAATAAGTGGATGGGTGAGGTGGGGGTGGTCCGTGGGTTGCCTTGTTGTTTTACACGCACACGCCAACCATGACGTCATACGTCGGTATTTGCTTATTTATAAACCATTATCACACATTCAAACAGAAGAGATTCATTCGAAATCGCCAGACAGATATATGCAAACAAGTGTTTTTTGCTCTCCCAAACAACTGCGAAAACAATGTTCTTTGAAACCAGTAATGCAGGCTACGAAATCAATTCGAAATTTAATTACTCTTGAGGGATATATAAGCTGTTTCATTTGTATATTTCAATCATTACAAGAATTGTTTTTTGAGTTACTCAATAAAAGTATTTCCGTTTATGCTTTTCCTATTTAAGTTATCAACTTTAAAAGTCAAATTTACTGAGTAATTTCCGTTCAAGCACTCTTTTATCGCGCATTTCTACGCTGTTCAGCCCTTATAGTAAATATTTGTATGTCTTATCTTCAATATAAAGAACTCATTTCATAAATAGTACCAACAACGATTAAACTGATATCAAAACATATTCTTTAAAAAAAAATATAGTCGAATAGTTGGTTAAGCTTATATAAATGAAAGTCGGTTTACCCAAACCGTCTTAATAAAATTTAAAAATTGTGATAAACATATCTTGTAACATTTTGAAAAACCGTATGTTTTTTTTTATGATAATTAATTTAAACATCCAGTAATTTTTTTAAGTATGTTCAAAGCAATTGTTTCGATAAGCTTGGATGACCCACGTCAGGGAACAGAAAATGTACAATGACGCCCCTTAAAGTTAAATACTTTTGCCATTCGTCATTAAACTGTCGATCGTTTCAGGGCTTTTCGCCGGGTCCCCAGCAAGCCGGTTACGCTCCAGTTCCCCAGATGCCGCCGTACGGAGAGACCCCGCCCTACGGAGCCGGGCAACCACCCTATGTGGGCGGCCCGGGTGGACAGCCACCCTATGTGGGTGGTCCGGGTGGCCAGCCACCCTACATGGGAGGAGGAGGTGGCCCACCACCGCCACAGGGCTTCGGAGGATATCCCCCAGGACCTGCAGGACCCGGAGGACCGCCACATGGATTCGGCGGATATCCACCGGGACAGCCGCAACAGCCCATCATCACGCAGCCGGGAATGGGTCCTCAAGGTCCGGGAATGCCACCTGGAGTGGCACCCGGAGGACCAGGAGGCAAGTTATCTAAACCTTAAGTACAAAAACCCTAACGGAAACCTTTAATGAGTTATAAATTTGGTACTAGCATATCACATTCTTATTGCTTTCGGTTATCCTGCTTTACATTTATCTTATCTTTTACATGCATATCAAAGTTTACCTATTATATAATCTTACTACGTAAATTTGCGTTATCGGTTTCTTTTAGGGTTTAAGTCCGCCAATCAAAACAAAAGCGCATCTCTGTGTGTCCCATGAGCCATTGCCCTGCGACTGAGATAATGTCCAATCGCTTGTCTGAATATCTCTGTGGGAGCAACAACTGAACCCAACATCCCAGATAGAGGTAGTTCACCCAGATCGGTATAGAACAAAGGGTGTTGTCCATCTAAGATAGTAGCCGTGCGCTAAGCGGGGTGCAAACATTTGCGTAGGCACTTTAGAGAGTGTTGAAGATTTCGAGGTTTTTAGACCGTCAGGTATTATCTGTGTTTTTGTTTACACGTGCATCCCATCCGTCGAAAATGGGCTGCAAACCCCGTCAGATCTTTGGCGCTTATCGGAAAGCGGAGCGTCCGCCTTAATTGAGCCAATAAAATAACACAAAGCGGCATTTAAAACGGCCGTCGCCATGGATGGCGTTGATTTTCCACCGACGAGCAAGAGCTGTGCTTCAGTTAGTTCATCTCTGTGCAGCAGAGCAGTCGATTCGTGTCCGCAGTTCGCAGTCACCAAGGAAAATGTCCACCGAGAACCAAGCAGTCTGCGTTTCCACTTTGGATCTGAGTGGCGAAACCCGCAGGAACTCTGAGGAGTCGCATCAACCACGAGGTGTGAAGAGCGGCTCCAAGGTGCTGCGATTCATCTGGCACTCGCTGTACAGCCAGTACAACCAGCTCTGCTCGCGATCCCAGACCCTGAAGCAACTGGTCTGCCGGGAGGCCAACAAGCCACTGCCCAAGAAGCTGCGACACACCATGCGGCTGAATAAGTCGGCCAAGCGAAAGGGCTACGAGTACTACATCAGCGACGAGGACAGGAGGTGAGGAGGTTTATTGGGTCTATGAAGTGAAGGTACTGAAGGACTGGTTTGAATGTAGACAAAAAGGGTGTGAATGGGTTCAGCAGGTTAGCCACAGAGTTCAGAATTACCCTTAAGAATCCATTGGTTTACTCAGAAAACTATAATGTAATCGGAGAAAGACTTGAAAGTGTTAAGATCTGAAAAAAACAATTAACTTGAATAATAGAATCCCTTTTTCCAGTAAAGATTCTATTAATTTAAAGGCGACTATCTTAGATCATGTACTTTTTAATGAACTCGATAAGATATATCTTCTACAGTTAGGTGCAAAAAAATCTCATCTTTAAATAGCCCAATTATGTAAATCATTTCAAGGTTTCGTTACCTTGTGAAATGCAAGATTTATTACTGCGATTAAAGCCCGTGATAAAGTATATCTTCCCCGCACAGATTAGATACAAGAGTCGTGATGCTTGAGCCATCATAAAAGCTTGTAGTTAGGGGGGTAATCTCTGAGATATCTAGAAGGGGACTGCCCCATTGTAAAGCCTCCAATTAGAGAAGGCGAGCAATTGTGCCGGCGACATTGACCAATTGACACACTGGCAAGTGAACAAGCTGAAAAAGATGCCCTTTTGTGAGCACTAATTCAATTTACTCGCCAAGATGATAAGAGCACTTATGAAGTAAGAGTGCGTTTTAATATAAGTTCATTGCAAATTTATTTTCTAAATTTAACCTCCTAAGTCCCCCAAAGGTTTCCCATTGTTATATATTTGTGAGAATGTGTATTAATAATTGCTATTTTTACAGGAGACTGGATGAGTATACCTACCGGAATTCCGAACTGTCCGCGCGGATTGGAATACCTTACGACTATCGACCAGCTTTTGGTTAAGCAGAAGGTCGAGCTGCTCGAGGCCTTCACCGGCTTCGAGACCAACAACAAGTTCTCGATCAAGAACGCGCTGGGTCAGAAGGTCTACTTCGCGGCGGAGGACAACGACTGCTGCACGCGCAACTGCTGCGGTCCTGCGCGTCCCTTCGACATGCGGGTCTTCGACAACTTCCAGCAGGAGGTGATCCACATGCACCGACCGCTGGCCTGCTCCTCCTGTCTGTTTCCCTGCTGCCTGCAGAGCATCGAGGTCTCGGCACCGCCGGGCAACGTCATCGGCACCATCGAACAGGAGTGGTCCATCTGCTCGCCTTCGTTCAGGATCCTCAATCACGTTGGCGACACGGTGATGCGCATCGAGGGACCCTTCTGCACCTTCTCGCTCTGCGGCGACGTTGAGTTCAATGTATGTTCTACTAACAAATGAGTATTGAATGTAACTTACAATTACTATCTTTGAACAGGTTGTATCGCTCACCGGCGAGAAGGTTGGCAAGATCTCGAAGCAGTGGTCGGGCTTGGCACGTGAAGTATTCACGGATGCGGACTTCTTTGGCATCAGCTTCCCGCTGGATCTGGATGTGCGCATGAAGGCCGTTCTGCTGGGCGCCACATTCCTGATTGTAAGTGCCGCTCCCTCGGTTAAATTTATTTTGTAATTCATATATGGCCTTGCCAATCAGTTGTATAGTGTTAACTTTTATCGGTTAAAGCTGTTGAGACGTCTGAGGCGCAGATTTCGTTGGTGCTGAGGTAACTGAAACCCCCAAGCCCATCAAATCCTCCAGCTTCTTGGTTAGGCTAGTTCAGCTATAGGTCCTTGAACCTTATGATTTACCAACACTAAGTTTATACCTTTTTTTGCTCCGCAGGATGCCATGTTCTTCGAGAAGTCTGGAAACCGCGAGACTGATGGACCCGGAATGTTATAGGAACCAAGTGGTGGCTTGTTCGTCGACTGCCTGTGCGGGATGGTCAACTGCTGCATCGAGGATTAGGTGTTGTGCATTGTTTTAGGTTGCCGCTTCATCCAAATATCTTCCCACTGAACTGTCGCGTACTAGTCTTCTGTACCAAAAGCTTATTTATGGAAATGGAATCGCACTAATGGAACTCATCGTTAAACTTGATAATCAAACTGGAAATCGAACCTATTCAACTCAGGCTTCCTTCAGACGGAACATCGCCAGTATATGAAACTAATTTTAGGTTTTGAAGCATTTTGTGCAGTTTCGCCTCATTTACGACAAACGTGCTTCATTCATGAATTTACAACGACACACTCTCAAGCAAAACTAACTAACGAGCTACTCGTTATTAAACCATGTACTTTAATCTGTATTTTGAGTGTCTTATGTATAGAAATATATACGATATATACGCCAATATTCATTGTTAAGCGGTCAAGAAATTTATATATGTATCCTTAGTCCACATAGTGACGAATACCATATAACTGAAGATATTTATGTTTTCTTTTTATGTACTTCTTAATGATTAAATAAATCGAAAAAAAAAAACCAAAAAATGGTTAATTGCTTTATTAATAACAATTCAAAAATTTAATTTTTTCAAACTGAGAGAAAATTGTACTTTTCTTTTGTGGATATTAATTTGATTCGTAACAATAGATCTCACTTGTAAAGTTATAGTACTTTTTTAACGCAAGTTGTAGTTCAATTTAAAATGAATCATTTATTTGGTACATGAACAAATCGATTTTGATTGGGCAAAAACCATCACTAACTGACCAGCTGACCCGGTCAATTCGCTTAAACCGGCTCTCCAAGAGTAATGAAACGAGTTTGTTCTGATTAAAAATAAACACAAATTATCGCAATGCGTTCAGATCAAGTTAGGCTTCCTTTTCAGTTGCAAAAATGCAGGCGTTGCGAGTTCTGATCGCTCTTCTTGTGGCCGGAGCCCTTGGAAAGGATCTGCAGGAGTGCGAGGATCTAGGAAAGGGCCATCACATCTGCAAGGAGATCGAGAGCTTTGAGCAACTTAATCGCTATGTGGGAGCAGACTGGCGAAGTGTAAAGGTGGTGAATGAGCACACTGGGATCGAAAGAGCAAAAGATGCGGAGTTACCAGCACTTTCCCAGCTTCTGAACTTGGATCTATCCGAATCCGGAGGCGTGACTTTGGCTGGAAAGGGTCTGCAGGATTTCAGGTCTCTGCAGCAACTGAATCTCACCCGTTGCAAGTTGGAGTTGCTGCAGGGTCAGCAGTTTCCCAACAACTCACAGTTGTTGAATCTCGACGTGAGCTTCAACGATTTACTGGTTATCAATAAAAGTCAAATGAGAAACCTCGCCAACTTGAAGTACGCCAACTTTTCCGAAAACCTCATAGCTGATATAGAACCCGATTCCTTCAAGGAAATGAAGAATCTTGTTTTTCTGGATCTAACCACCAATTATCAGGAGAACGTGACAATTGGCGAGAATGCGAACCTGAGATACTTATCCATAAGTAACAATAATATGAGAGATGTAAGTGGGACTCTTATATGTTTTAAAACATGATGTGTACTTTCCTTATCCCTCAGTTCCAATGGTTTCGAATGCAGGGATTACCCAAGTTGGAGGAACTGCACCTGCACAGCAATTGGCTGGAAGTCCTGGACAAGGGAATATTTAACTCACTACCCAACTTGAAGGTCTTGAATGTTTCCAACAATAATTTGTATGAGATCAAGAGAGCTCTCTTCATGGGACCCAGCCAAGTGGCTCCGCTGGAGCTGCTCGATTACAGTTCGAATAATGTAAAGATCCTGAGGGATTCGGTCTTTCGCAAACTCGGCAATCTCAAGACCCTCAACTTGTGGCTCAACCAGATCGACAAAATCCACCCAAGAGCTTTTCTAGGACTGAGTTCCTTGCAATCGCTTCAACTGTTTGGCAACAAAATCTCTGTTCTTCCGGAAGGATTGTTTGAAAATCTAACGGCTTTGGAGATTCTTGACTTGAGTCGGAATAATATCAAATATATAGGAATAAATGTCTTCGGAGAGACCATTCTTCGTAACCTTACCTACCTGGATTTGAGCAATAACCTTATTTCGGAAATGCATCCTTCGGCTCTTTCTTCACTGCCTTTTATCAAGGAACTCAAACTGAGAAGGAACAAATTGATCAGCCTGGATCTTCGTATGTTTGCTCCCCTTCGAAAATTGGAATTACTGACGATCGGGGAAAATCGCCTGGAGGAGATCCAGTCGGAAGTTCTGGACACCTTCGAGCACATCTTTCACCTGGAAATCCACAACAATCGACTCACCTTCTTGCCGGATCTCAAGGCTTCGGAAAATCTTCAGCAACTGCGGTACATTAGTTTGGAGGGAAATCCCTGGCAGTGTCTGTGTCTGGATGAGATCACCGCCTGGTTGAATATACGTCAAGTGGGATACGCTCGTCCCAGCAGCGCCTATTTCAGTGGAAAGAAACCCCTTTGTGTTCTAACGACCATGGAGCAGTGCATTCGGGATTTGAATGAAGTTAAGTCCCAGGGAATCGTCGAAAGCTACGAGAAAATATAAAAAGACTTCATAAATTCTGTATTTCAACAAGTATTCACCATTTTAATTATATCCCCGATATTACCTATTTACACAAGGGTAATATTTCTTAAGTCTTTCTTATAAAAAATTAAATCAAATGCAATTTGAATGAAGTAAAGTTTAAATATCGTCTTTTTTCTACATATATATTATATATATTTTCTGGTAAAATTAAAATGTTTTCTTCAAATAAGATACGGGAAACATCTGATTAAAGTAACATTAAATTGTATCTTAATATTTTGAACCTCTTTAAATATATCTCAAACTTATTTACTATTACTATAAGCAGTAAAAATATTTTTAAGTTTTTGATTTGCGAGCACATTTGTCCCGCCGGTTGAGGAGCAATAAATCAATATCCACTAAACGCTGCAGAGCAGTTTCTGTTGTGGGTTCCGCTACGCTCCGCTGACTGACTGGACGTCCGCCGCAGCCCGAGATCCTTGGAGGAGCATCCGTAAATCACAGACAATTGGATGACCATGAGGGCAAAACTTTTAGCTAGCCAAAGTATTTGGCCAACTGTCGTAAAACAATAAAGCGGAAGGCATGCGATGGAGACTGGGGCGGAAAACCGAAGCTGAGATTTTCAAATACTTAACACCACTTAAGCGAACAGTTGGACAATGACAATGACGGAGGAGGATTGGGAATTCCGGGTGTCCAAGGTGGGGATTTGATTGTTGAGCGTAATTTAGCGCAAGAATTTTTATTAAAATTTTCAATTTGTTTGCAGCTAAAACTTTTTCACCAGCCGCAATCGACTGATTGATGGATGGGGATGGCCTAGTAAATGGATGAAGTTTGGCAGCAGTTGGGTGATAAATCAGAAGGCCCTTAAATAATGTAGGGGAAGGAGGGCAAGTTATGAATGGCTGGGTGAGCGAGTTATCCAGCGGAGAATGCTTAGATTTTCCCATTAAAACAGAACAAGTTTCCGTGGCACCGGCTTCCCCGACACGGCACATTTGCATTCAGCATTCAGGCATATGAATGGGCCGCAGGGTCAGAGCAAGTCGAGCACAAGTATTCCAGGTATTCGCACAAAAGGACAATGGACCCGGGAAGTTGGCAACCAGGACATGTGCAGTCAATGCGCAATTACTGCCGGAGCACGGCGTTCCTTGCTCAACAACTGCCATAAAAGTTTTACTCCGGCGAGAGGGCTTTAAGCGCCTCGAACACTTTCGAGACCACTAATTAAATTACATTTTCGGTTTCGCATTCGCCCCATTCGTGCTCGATGAATTAAGTGTCCTGTCAAAGGCGAAAGGTGAGTTCTGGCCGGAGACTTTCAGCCATTTCCTTGCGAGTCCTGTGAGTCCTGCCGGGCGGGTCCGTTCAATTAATTTGGCAAGCAACTTTGGTCGGGCGTTTGTTTGCCCAATTTGATAACCGAGAGTTTTGAGGATGGCAGGACTTCCGTTTATGACAAACCTGTTGCTCCCTTTCCCCCGGGGAAATTCCCGGTGCCATCGGAGCCACTGAACCCTTGTCAAATGAAATGAAGCTCCGCCGAGGTGTCAAAGACATGCCGGCCATCAATTTACCCCAGATCGCAACCCCTGTCGGCTGAGTAATATTCTCCCGAATAAATTCCAAATTCAAAATTCAAATTTTGCCCACATCCGTTCGGTGGTTTTTCCATTTCTTCCTTTTAATTTTGGTTGGAGTGGCCACTGCATTCGCGTTTTTGTTTTGTTTGGTTAAATACGTTCACGGCTAATTGCATTTCTGCGGCTTAAATGCCCGCAAAATCTGTTAACGAAATATTTGCCAAAACATTTTTGCACAATTAGCCCGGCCATTGTTCGTTTCTATTTTGCCCTTCGGTGTTACACATTCATTAGGCGCACTATTGCCCCCAAAAATCCGGAACTTGACTGCTCTTCAAATTACAGAATGGCGGTTTTTGCGGCCGGTGGCATTTTTAATTATCTGTCTCGGACTTCGAAACGGTGAGCCAGTGCTTCTCCTTCTCCGGCAGAGGAGCTGCCCAGCCGAACTTGAAGGACTTTCGCAGCCTTGCGCTCGACCTGCGATGCTTGGTCGCCGAGGCGTTCGCGTCGAGCATCATAGAGAGCTCCGAGATCGATACCCCAATCGGGAACTTCTCTTGTCCCGAGGTCAGAGCCTCGTCCACGTCTTGGGTGTACTTCATCAGCTGGTCGTAGCACTGCATCAGCACCTTCCTCGTTCTGTTCAGTCCGTTGTACAACTGCATGTAGTCTTGCTTGTAGCAAATTATGGGAACCTAGAGCAGGGTTTAATATGCGTTAGTACTTCAAAGTAAATTAAGGTTCTGGGTAAAATTAATAAAAATGTATATAAAAATTGCAAACAATTTGAAGATCAAGAGTGGTTAAAAATTCAATGTTTTATGTACGTAAAAAGTGTTGGCTTTGTAATCCTTTATGCTTTATAAACTTTAGTTTAATAATCAAATGAATGCAATTTATCTAATTCGTCAGTTTAAAATATTTTTATAAATCCATAAAATTAACTCTTCGCATTTCTCTATATAGTGCTGTATTTTTATTGAAAACCTACCTTCGAGGAGTAGCTGTACTTCATGTTGGTCTGAATGGGCCGTGCGTAGTTGTCACTGTACTGAAGGTAGTTGCCTCGACTGATATCCAAGTCGTTGTACCGCTCTATACACAATCCCACGTTGTGCTTCAGCTCCTCCTGCCACTTGGGCACTTCGAGGAGCCTCTTGGCCAACTTCTTGGTGCATCGGATGTTTCTCTGAACCTTCTCATCCAGTCTTGCTAAAGAGATCTTGGATTCCTTAAGTTTGCGACTCACTTCGGAGATTTGCAGACAGGCTTGTGCGGTATCCTGTTGCACTTTCCTCAACTCGACATCTTTTGATCCAGTTTGCTCGAGTTCCAGTTGCATCTGATCAGAGTCTGAACCGCAATCGGTTTTACTTGACTCCGGAGGGCGGATTAGGAGACCTCGTAAATACAAAACCCGCTGCTTCATCTGCTCCAGCTTCTCGAATACCTTTGAAAGTTCCAATTCGGAGGAGTACTCGTCCTCCTGGGTCAGAATGTCATCCAGAGCCGAGATGGTGCAGTGGGTCAACTCCGATCCACTTCCTTCGAGATTGGGCAATCCAGGAGCCCTGCAATCCATCTTTGTACAAGTTTTTTGTAGAAACCTTTCGATTTAATCTTTTGTGTAATGTGAGTGAAATGTGAAGGGTGGGAAATACTAAGAAAACGTGTACAAAATCATGGACTACTTCGAACATTTAACGTAGATGGTGGGATCGGGGTAGAGATAGCTCGGTTATAATACCTGAAACATATTATTATAAATATGAATCTAAAATACATTTTTTTACATTTTATACAAAATGAATTTATCTTTTGTATTTCTTTTAATGGCTTCTCAAACTCTTCTCTTTTTCAATGCTTAAGAACAGAAAACATATTTTCACTACAACATTGTTAAGATCTTTGCTTTCAGTTTCCCCAATTTCGCCTTCGGTGTTTTAATGAAAATGCTTGGCAGGAGCGCCACAAGGTATGCAGCTGCCACAATGTTGCATGCACAGGAGATTCCTCTCGAAAAGAGGTCACACACCTCCAGTTTTGGCCCCCAGGGTCGGAAATTCCCAGCTGCTAATGATTTTTAATGGCCAAATTGCACGAGCTGTCTGCCAAGACTGCAGAATGGAGGCTTCGTCCTGGAAATGCCTCTTAAAAGCGAATTTGTGGTCGGACTCCTGGCTGGCACACACACTCCCTCACACACACACACGCACACATACACACACACTCCCGATGCGGTCAATAAAGTATGCAAAGTGGTGGTGGCGGGAAAAAGGAAAAAGGAGGATTGCTTTAGTGACCATGCTGACCTTAAAAACAAATTAGTGGCGCTTACTCAACAAGATTGAGTGGCTCGTGTATCGCTGTCATCGGCATCGTCACTGCTGCTATCCTGTAGTCCAACAAGGACATTCCTAAAAGGGGTCGGAACTAAGCCTATCAAAAGTGGATATTGGTTCCCGTTTGCTTTTATTACTGGTTTAACTTCATCATTACTTACTGGTTTCAATTATTGTTTATGGTATGAAACCCCATATGTATATATTTAAAATAAATTGTACTTATTATGAACTTAATTGGTAAACCGTTTAATAAATCCTTTGCAATATGTTGGCGATCTTTATTTAACAAACAGTTCAAACTGGTTAAGTGGTCAACACAAACTTGTTCACTGTCAAGTTGCACTGCCAGTAATTCGATAACATTGTTATAAAAGACCAAATGAATTTTTATAAAATACCATTAGTTGTACTGTGAGGTGACACCTAGAATCCCCTAGAATCCCCTTATTCCATATTTTTCTCCGCCCATGTCCATTGAGTACGCACTTTGCCCATGCAGCAAACACGGAAAAGGAGGAAAAAATCTGAACTTAATTAATGAAAGAGTCGGTGGCCGTTGTTCCTTGATCCTGTGACCGCCTCCTGGACTCAGGATTCTTCCTCGGAATGCATCTATTTATAGGCCCCAGATATTAAGCCATGAATATTCATGGGGATTGGGAGCTGAAAGGACCACCATAGCCACTTCGATGACGCTGCAAATCAACAGACGAGCGTAATTTTTGTTAATAAAAGCGTGTAATAATTTGCCGCCAGGCGCAAACATAAAGGAAGGGGAAAAGAGAAGGGGGAGGGGAGGGGAGGGGGAGGGGAAAATGCCCAGCATGTGTTGCAAATGAAATTATGTAAATGCGACAGCCACAACGGCAACAACAGAGATGTATCTGCAACTGAATTTTGTATCTTTTTGGGGGCGTCGCCAGCGGTTGACCCACGCACACACAATGGATCCGAATGGGGGAATTTCAGGGGGGAAATGTGGTCTGAAAACCCTGCCAAAACATGGCTTAATGTTGATTAGATGCATTAAACATGCAAAAACCCCAACCAGCAGCCAGCAGCCAGCGGCCCTTGTTGTTGTCATTTCTCGGCCAAACAATAAACGGCGGCATAAAATAGATATGTGCATTGGATTCTGGCCTCTGGTTTTCGAGGGGAAATGAAATTAGTGCAACCTTTTAACTTTCGGCGCGGCAATTGAATAACTTTAATTGGTAATAAAGCTAAGCCCACATGGAGCCGGAAATTGCGAAATTGCAGCTGGCAAAGCCAATTGCCAATCGACAATCACCAGGCTCGTATCAAAGGGCCCACTATCCGCATTTCCCCCTGTTTTTTTTTTTTTTTTCCCCCCCCCTTTGGCCGCAAGCTGTTTACGATCCTGCCAACTTTAATAGTAAATAACAACAATAACAAGCGCCGCAGGAGCAGCTGCGCAAAGTTTCAGAACAATACAGGAGTGAAGCAGGGGGCTAAAAAAAAAAGAAAGGAAAATTCAGGGAAAACCAGCAGAGGCAGCGGCGGCAGGAGAAAAGCCAGAGAAAAGAAAAGTTGGAAAACACTTTACTTTGATGACCGTCCAAGTCTTTTGCTCTCGACGTTGTCGCCATGGTTGCCATTCAAATGGCTCGCTTAATTTTACCCTCACCGCGGGGATTGTGGCAACTTTTTAATGACTCCTGGACATATTGTCCGCCCAGGATGTCATTTCATCTTCGAAAGGGGAAATGTATCGCCTCGCCTGGCGACAGATTCGGTGTGAAAGGATCCACTTCTGGGGAAGTGCTTTCCGTCGAATTCCGACTCGAGCAAAAGACCGGAGGTTTTTGTCTGTGTAAGCTCAGAAAGATGCAATTTACGTTTCCTGGAAATCGAAAGAAACAAGTTTACGGTAAGTAAGAGAGTTCCGGGAAATTATTTAAGCAGGCGCTTTGGGAAAGCAATTAGAGGCTAAGACTCAAAAGGGAGCTTATTGCTAATTGTTATGGGCTTAGGTGGAAAAGGAAAGTATAAATAAGAAAGTAAGAAAAGTATATTTCCTTAATCTTATTTTTCAATTTATTAACTTAGTTGCCTTACATTTCAAGGGAGAATTATTTTTAAGATATAATAAAGAGTGATAAGGAAACTAGAGATTTGAACATGTATCTAAAATAATTATTAGAACAAAATCATTTGTAACAAGAAAAGAAATCATTAGCTTTACATATAATAAAGAAAGAGTTTGTCTAACTAGTTTAATTTGAATGATAAGCGAAAAAATATACTAGAATGTTTTCCAGAAATGTTAAGCCCTATATCTTCTTCCTATATATTTAAAGGGTATAACCAATTCAGTAATAAGAGTGCTGCCTGCATCCAGTTTACAGCCGATGGCTAGGCCAAATCATTATTGATTTCCTGGCTGACTGGCCCCCCAATCGCGTTCGGCAGACTTATCTGGAAAAGGGTGAGCTGCGAGTGCCACTTGGGGCGCTTTGACAAAAACTTTCTTTTGTACATATTATTTATGCCCGGCCCCCGAGGGTTCGAGATGTGAATGGAAAGGGGGAGGGGGTTGGCGGGGGCCAGAGGTCCCCTCAATACAAGTTGCTCCTGTCACGGTTGTTATTGCTCTTTTATTTGTATTGGCTGTGGGCCGTGGGCCTCGTTGGCAACATTTTTTAATTTATGTAGCAGCTGTTGCTCCGGCGTAAATGTCAAATGCATTGGTTTGCTTTTTTTTTTTAAAGGGGAGAAACTCAAAGCCTGGGACTCATAATGTGTTAAGTTTGCGCCAGCGAGGAGCGAGTGGCTCGTGCTCGAGTTGTTGGCAAACAGTTTGGCTCCTTGGCCAAAACGCCGCTCCACTTTTGCCCAACTTCGGGCTTCAAGTGGCCCAGAAAGTTTGGCCCAAAAGAGGCTAGCAAACTAATTATTTAGTTTCGCTTCGTTCCGTTTCGCAGCGGCAAATGCCAAACGTCAGCCAAATATCAATAAAAACTCCAATCGAGATCTATTTCAATTAACTTGTTAAAAAACTTTTTAATTAACGACACTGCAGCCCGAAGTTAGTTTCCCTCCTTTTGGGGCCAGAATTTATGGCTGCGCCTAATTGGGCAACAATAAAGCGAGTGAAAAAGGGGCGAAAAACAAAGAAGAAATGGGGCGAAGGGATAAAAATGGAGAATTCCTGTGATATGTAAATGTTTATAAATCAAGTTGCGACTGTTGTCGGTGACAAGTGGTCGGCCGACTGGCCGGTTGGTCGGTCGGCCACTTCAAATAAATAAATAAACAAACGGTCCGAACGAACGACGACCTGTGTCCTGGTTAGTTCAACATTCCGATTCCGATTCTGATTCCCTCCCCTCGCTTCATTTCTATTTATTCTGGCATAGTTACACTCTTACTTTTACTTTTACCCTCGTCAAAAATAGACTGGGGCTATTTTTTCAACCTGACACCTTGTGATTTAAAAGCCGCAACATATGAATCGGGATCCTTGGACTTGGTGATTTATAAGGAGCCGGTTGATTTACCGCCACAAAGGCTATTAGGAGGTCCAACAAGGACACTCGACTTGCTGCTGTCGACAATTACATTGTCTAGACCGAGGCGACTGTCAAAACTCGATGCTCCGGCAGGACCTCGAGGAGGACTCGGGGCCAAGTCAATGCCTTCGAGTCGATTATAGAAATGACAAAAGCAGCATGGCGATGGCAAAGCGGTAACAATACTAAGTAAATTCGAGTTTTTTAGCCGCTTGATAAATTGAGGCGGCCAGCTTGGAGCTATTAACAAGATAAATGAGCGGCAATAAGTGGCGCTGGCACTTCGATTTCATTCCCGGCTGACTTTCAGAGTTTCAATGGTACAACGCGGCGTATGCGTAATTACCATTTCATATGCATTAAGAAGAGCTTCAATCACATGACAGCCGTTTAAAAAGGAAATAAGGTGCACAAAGGGAAAGAAATATAAAGAATTAAATTAAAAAATAAATTTAAATTAAAATTAAAATTTACATGATTGCATTTTATAAAACTTATTTAAAAAGAGAAACCTTTACTACTTAGGTTTCATTCTAATCATTTTATTTCCCACTTGTAGCTATTATTTATTATTTGGTTCAGTGTCCCTGAAAGATAATTCGAGGTATTGGCAACAAGGAGCGGAAAGGGAGCCAGAAAGTGGGGAAATTCGAACTGGAGCAGGAGCAGCAGAGCCAATGTCATTAAGCGCATTTGAAAAATCATCAACAATACGAACGCGATGCGTTGACAATGTTGCCAGTTCAGGCTGGCTAGCGGATAAAAAAAGATACGGATAAAAAACGTAGCAATA